TTACCTCCACCCCCTCCCAAAAACCTCCCCAGCCAAAACCCCCAGCTCCTACGGCACCCAGCCACAACAGTGTGAATTCCTCAGGGAGGTGCCAGTCTCATCCTCTTGTAGTTCCCACGCTCCTGCCGCGAGCTAAGAAAATGCTTATCTCCCTGAGCCTGGCTTTCATAATTCCATTCCATCATATATATACATAGATTAAACATTTTGAAAAAATGTTTTTTAAAAAGCGAAACAAACTAAATTAAAAATGCAAAAAGGATATTTTGGTAGCACCCCTCTCTTTCTTTCTCCCCTCCCCTCTTTTTTTTTCCCAGCCAATAATTGCTACTTGAATATTTTTATACTTTACTTTGGACTTTATTAGTAATTTCTATTTGGATAATGTTTATTGTTATTGTTATTATTTTTTAAACAGTTTCTCTTTTTGTTCAAAAAACATACTCTAGGTAACTTAGCTTGACTTGCTTTATGATATGTTATATATAAAGTAGCAATTCCTGCTTGAATTTGGTTAGATTTCTGCTGTGTGTGTGTGTGTGTGTGTGTGTTTGTATACACACACACACACACACACACACATACAGAGGCTAAGATCCTGTGGGACTTCCAGATCCAGCAGACAGGCAGGCACTGGCCAATCAACCAGACATTGTAGTAGTGGACAAGGATCAGAAGACAGTGGTAATGTTAGATGTAGTGGTGCCAGGTGACAGCAACATCAGGAAGAAGGAGTATAAGAAGCTGGAGGAGTACCAGGGCCTGAAGGAAGAACTAGAGAAGATGTGGAAAGTAGATTTTTTAATAACTTTTAATCATGTATTTATGATTTTAATTTGATGTAAGCCACCCAGAGTCCCCCATTGTGGGGAGATGGGCGGGGACAAGTCCACTAAATAAATGGGGGGGGGGAGGCCAAAGTGGTCCCAGTGGTGATAGGAACACTCAGGGCAGAAGGGTGAGAGGGGAATTTTATGATCAATTTTTCCATTGCTGCATATTCTTCAATTTTAGTCTCCCAATCCTGTATTGGTGGCAAGGGTTCTCTTTTCCAATGTTATGCCAGATTGATTCCAGCCTCTGTCAGCATAAATCTTAATAAATTATGATGATTTTCATTTATATTCTCTAGAATCATACCTAATAAAATATTTGTAGTTTTAATTCAAATTTTATTTTCAGAATTTTCTGAATGTTTTGGTGTATTTCTTTCCAGTACTTTTGAATCTTCTTGCATGATCACCACATATAGTAAAATGTTCTTTCTTTGTTGTGGTATTTCCAACATTTCTTATTGTATGATTTATCCATTGGTGTCAGCCTTACGAGGTAGACCAGACAGGAAACATGACCAGATGAGCTAATTCTACTTTACTGTAAGGTTACATTAACAGAATCTTGCAAGTCTGACTTCTGGTTGAGAGCCATGGCGAGGCTAAACATCCCTTTTTGGAGTGAGACGGGATCACAACATGGCATGCAGGATCCTTGCCGCTGAAATGCTCTCCAGATGAAGGAGAGATCTTTGATAGCTCACATGACTCTTCACAGCTGTTTCTCATGAATAAACCATAGGAATAGTTGTGTTGTGGTTTGCCTGTGGGTCGAGTGGCTGGGAGTCAAGGGAGGAACATCTTTGCTCACAGTAGTTAACTTCTTTTTTTGAAGGGGTTAAAAGATATTTTTAAAAACTCAAGGAAGGAATACAAGGTTGGCTTATCTGACCAGAGCTAAAGGAGAAAAACAGTCACATCTGTTTGCTCTTACTGGACTTTTGCTGACAAAGAACAACTGATGAAGCATTTGGATTTTTTTTGTTTTTTTAATTCAATAGATGAGATATGGGGTGAAGAGTGATTATGTTACATTTAGAGATAGTGATATGCCCTTTCTGGGATGAAGGGGGAACTTTCTTTCTTTCTCTTTCTTTCTCTCTTTCTTTCTCTCTTTCTTTCTTTCTTCCTTCCTTCCTTCCTTCTTTTTTTTTCACACTTTTGTATTTTTCTGTTTGTATTTTTTGTAGCCTATATTGGCTTTTATTTTTTTTCATTTATAATACTTAACAAAATGATTTGGGGAAAAAAAAAGAATCCTGCAAATTTGAAAGTGCTTCTCTACCCCCATCCCCTTTACAGCCTAAAAACTAGGGAGGGTCTCTTCTGAACCTCTTGCCCTGCCTACATTCCTGCTGTGGGCTCAGCTGCCTTTTATATGACTGTTCCCTTGGTTATGCCTCGTTGCCCTGTCTCCCAAGGTCATTCCCACATACCATTACAATTTGGGCAATCCATAGAACATTTTATATCAGTTTCCCTCAGATGGTAGCTTGGTGTAAATTTTATTGATTGTTTCCATAGATTTCCCATTGTTCCACTGTTATTGCTTCTTTGAAATTTTGCATCCATTTTATCATACTATTGTTTATTTTTTCTGTCTCCATACCATATTTAAATACAATTTTTAAATATACCTAATAATTATCTTGATTCTGTATAAGTATTTCCAATTTTGTCAAGTTTCTCAGGGTCCCTCGTTCTTTAAGATTGCTCTTCATTTTTCCAGTTATTTTCCAGGTATCTGCTATTAACCATAATAGATTCCTTCCTTTATTATGCAATTCTTGTATCTTCAGTCTATTTCTTGAGTCCAGATGTATAATGCTGGCATATGTACTGCATACAGATCTTTATTACTGCAATTATCTTTGAAATAAAAAGTTATGCTAGTGGTGAAGATGTTGGATTTATCCTTGCTTTTAAGGAATTTCAAATTATTAACAGACTTTCTCTTATGTTCCTTCAAATTCTTATCTTCTTTTATTTCCTTGTATCATAAATATTTGTGAAGTCCATTGGCTAAGCCTGCTCCTTCTCTAGTTTATTATTATTAAAAGATACATGTCATCCAACTCCCAGCAACTCTGGGCAGTTTACAAATTGCAGAGAGATCAAGCAGCACATGGATGGATGCACCACCACCATCCCCACTCCACCATAGGTCATCTACAAGTGCAACCAAAGCTGTCCCAATACTAAATCCTTGTCTGAAACTGACTGAAATGAGTCTAGATAATCTATTTCCTCCAGGGTTCTCATCACCTGCAGACCAACAACCTTCCCCAGAAAGGGAAGGTTGGTCACTGGTTGATGGTTATCTAAGACTGTTGGGTCCAAGAATGGCTTCTTGAGGAGGCAGCATACCATTACCTCTTTCAAGGCTGGGGGCACCGCCCACTCTGTCAAAGAGGCCAACACTTCAGCATGGGCCCAACTGCAGCTTACTTCCTTGGCTGCTTTCACGACCCAGTAGCGATCCAGATCCAGTAAAGTTGAGCCGGTGACAGCACAGAGAGTGTAACAGAATGTGAGAATGACCTTGGAAGATCAGGGGAAGAGATGCTGCCTAGGGAATGATCAGATAAAAGGGAGAAAAGCCCACAACTGAGTAATGGGCAGAGAAAGAAACTTAGAAAGGACCACCTCAACTGATCAGGGAGGGCAGGAGATTTGTACTTTCAGACTTGCAAGATTCTGTTAACATTGCCTAACAATAAAATAGAATTCGCTCATCTGGTTGTGTTTCCTGTCTGGTTTACCTAGAAGGACTGACAGAGTGTCACTGGCTCAACTCATCCCAGATCACACCACCAGACTGTGTCCCAGGCACTCCTGCCCAGTCAGAGTCAAAGGCAGAGCAAATCTGAGCAATTTTATTTGCCAGATAGCCAAGATAATCCTCATATTCTACTATTAGGAAATTTTATTAATTTTGTTATCCATGATAGATAGCTTGCTCTATTGAAATTGGGAAAACGTCTTAAGCATGCCATTCCCACTGCATTTAGCTTACTTCTGTGTTTCCTGAAATACCCAACTCTTCACTTTTATATAACAAGGTGACCAGAATTGCCCACTTACACACAGCTATTTTTGCTTCTTTTGACAGATTCATTCCTCACAACAGAGAATATACTACCCACTTCATACCAGCATTTCATGTCTTAAAATGTCTCCATCCAAAGTATTTGTAGATGTGATTATAGTTCATTCTGTATATCAGAACAAGACTGCCTTTATAGTAAGAATAAAGTTTTCTCTGGGAATATCATATTTAGTCTGCAAAAATCTGAGTGATCATTAGCTTTTCACAATGCATTGAAGATCTCACTGTTTCCCCAGGCATGTGGTCAGGTGGGTAGACGAGCTCTGTTGTTATTGATGTGAACAATGAACACTGTCGTATTCTGTCACCTTCATCACTAGACTCGCCTTTCGGAGTCTTCTTGTTTCCTGTATGGCCTTCCAAGGATAACTTCTTAGTCTATCAGAGTCAGTAACTTCTGTCTCTGTTCAACAAGTCCACACCTCTCAGCATTTAGGTTTTATGTCATTTCACTGTTTGATTCCCAGCAAGCTTGGGACAGTCTGGAAGATTTGATTCACTCACAGTTAGCCAATGAGTTGCTTCAAAGTCTTGACTAATTCAGAGGGCTGTACAATTTTAAAGGCAAACCAGTATTGTTACAAATAATCATGTACAAGCTTGTTTTTCAGGAAGCTTTGTAGGAGACAAATTCAATTGGAGATGCATGTATGGACTTGCTAGAACTGTACAAATAATTCATATTTAATTGTATGATTTCCTGTTGACATGGGCACTGTGATCTTTTCCTTCTTTTTCTCTGCAAAAATAATGGCTTTCATTTAAAAATAAACCTACATTATTACTAAGATTCCTGAGGGCTGAAGCATTTAAATGGAGGTTAAACATGAAATACAAACTAAGCCTATTCATCATGTAATTTAACCATCCTCAGTGACTTTTCACCAACAAGGAATCTAACCCAGCAATTCTAACTTTTGTCAGAGACTGAAGACAACAGCCCACATACAATAGCACTAAACATCTGATCTATATTTCTAGTCACTGTTGCCTAACTTTTGTTACATTATGTTTTTCAGGCATTCTTCATACATGTATTGCTCTTGCTAGGACTACAGATCTGAGCTATAAAAATATTTTTTTTATTTCAGCACTTCAACTTTCTCTGCACAGTCATGATGACTGGGTAATTGACTTCAGTGGAGAAAAAAACATATACTAATGCGTGGGGGGGTGCACATACACATCCTGTCCCCAAGTTCTCAGAGTCTTACAAAGACCTGCTTGCAGGCTGTCTCTCAGTTCCTTTTGGGAAGAGGAAAGGAAACAGACTAAGGAAGAAGAAATCACCAGGGAAAACACGCCCAGTATTATGGCCACGTGAGAACACTTGGGGGCAATCTTCCTCTGGAACATCAAAAATATCTGCCTGAATGCTCAGCTTTCTTTTCTTTTTAAAAAAAATCTAGCCTAGTCTATCCCAGCCTAGTCTACTCCAGCTTTCTACATCATCTTTAAATACGATACCAAGTAGTAGAGCTTTTAGTTGTACTACAGTACCAAACTTCTCATTTATATACATTCTACAATTGCTCTGCTTTGTTCCAGGCATTTTACAGCTGTTTTCCATCCATATTCTTCCTGTGTCTTCCTACCACTCTGTGTCTGTTTATTAAGAACACTGAGGAATGAAAGATTGAATAGTTTCACCACAGCTGTTAATTATTACCACAAGAACCTCCCCATGTGAAAACCCTAGAATCAAGGATCAGCAGTGCCATGACCATTGCTCCTAGAATGCCCATGACCTTGAGAGAAAGCACTTGCAGAACCCCCAAAATGAAATTAAAAAAATAATAAAATGGCTGAAACCTTGGTGTTTTCAAGTAATATCTCATGGAAGAACATTCAAATAAATGCATTGCAATGCCTGAAAAAGTTACTGATTCCACCCCTAAGCAGTAAAATGAAATACCTCCAAATAGATTAGGATAATCATATTTACACTGTTCTTGGATAATTTCCTTTCTCTTATGCCACCTCCTGGTCAGAATATTTGGGCTGATCTAGTTTCAGTTTTTGATCCAGTTAGCAGAAAGCCCTTCTTCCTCCCACTCCCAATACATGAACATTAATCTATAATTAGGTCATCTTCTGTTTTGTACAAGTAAATCTGCATTATATATGATACAAACAAAAGTAAAGTTCCCTTTATAATCACATACACCCTACAAAGAAAAAACATGGCATGAACAGCAGGCACAGAGAGAGGCAAGGGCCCAATTCCTTTAGTGTTATGTGAGGTAACGTTTTGGCAGGCAAAACGTGTTCTGCAAGTCATGTTCTCTGGCTGAAATGTCTCTTCTGCATGGCTGGTATAAATATTGGGCACCTAGCCTTCTTTGCATCCAGTGATAATCAGAATATTGCTTACTAGAAATAACAAGTAAGCAGTTCATACTAAAAAAGCGAAAACTTAATATGAACCCAATTAATACAAGGTGAGACTTACTCTTCTTCTGAAAAGGGCTTCCCAGATAAGATGTTCTTTGTCCCTGGTGCGTAATTCCAATCAACTTCTCTAATTCCAATGTAGTATTCTCTGGTTATTGCAGAGACTTGGAATAAGTAATAAGCCAACAAGTGGCTTAGCACAGACAGCTTCATCTTCTAGGCTGTTTAGTACAATGGACTCACCCAGGAACACCTTCTTTATATATCTTCAGTATTTCCCCTTTGCAAGCTTTTACTTAGCTCAACAGCCTGGAATGTTGCATAAGTCTTGTTTAAACACACACTGCCAGATTTGGTGGCAATAACTCTTAGGGCAACTCATGGATTATTTGAAGCAACAGCAAAAAACATTTTTATTACAGTTAATCTTGTTCAAATGCAAATCAGGTTTTAGATCTCAATATGTGAATTTGGAAAATGTTCTTAAAAGGATTTTAAAAGATTAAAAAGAGTCCCTGCTATGGTGAAATGCTTTGGAGTTTCCCAACAGGACATCAAGCTTCTCCTGTTTCTTCTATTTGATACAGTAAAGCTGAAATTTCCCACATTTCACAACATGGGGAATGTTATATTTGAGCATTAAACTGGAGGACAATGTCCAAAATTCTATGCAGTTAATATATCAATGCAATATTAACAAATTTCAGACAAGACTGGCATTACTTGTGAATATTATTAAAATACTTCTTCCTGAATGCTTGGTTGCTTGGTCATGCATGTCTTAATTGATAACTGGGACAAATTGTGCAACATTACCCTAAAAGCTCTACAATGCAATCTGAAGATTTGTTTTGTTTGTTTCACTAATCCCAACCTGTTCAGTTTCTTCTGCCATTCTCTTCAAAAGCTGACATTTACAAGGCTGATGATTAGCAGAAACCAAAAATTAACTTCAGCATGATCACAATTATGTTATGTTTTTGTTAGTTAAAATGTACCCATCCAATTCAAGTAGACTTTTATTAGAAGTAAACGGGTTCTTGAGCAACTTTATCCGCTTTTTATTTTCTGACCCAATTATCACACAACAGCAATAATTTCTTTGGAGCAGGTAAAAAGGCAAGCTATCACCAGTGGAGAAATGATCTGATCAGTAACTTCTGCAGAGCTTCAGTACTACAGATGCAAAGGGAGCCTTTTCAGTGATTCCTGAAACATTGCAGCTGAGCCAGAAATAAAATGGCAGTTGAAAATAAAAGACAGTATGAGATCACAAGGATGTGAAGAGGTGCAACGTTTCTTAAGTTAGTACTTTACTTTATTTTATTTTATTTTATTTTATTAAGGATAATCCCTGTGGGCAAGTATCCAAAGCAAATATATAACTGTATTTCATTAAGGCAAATTAGGGAACCACTCAATTCTTCTTGGTCAATGGGTGAACCAGCATTGGGTAAGACTGGTCTTATGGGTTTCTGCACACGAAAGACATTCCCCAAATCTCATCTCAGATTATGACATTTCTCCCAACATCTATGCAGAGGGAAGTTTTTATTCAGTTGTGCATTTAATCATGCAAAATCCCATTTGTGATCCAAAATGGTGTAGTCCAGATATAAGTTTATCACCTCACTAAGAAGGTGTCTATTGCTGTTGTTCACAATAATGTGACCACCCAATGAACTAAATATTTATTCATGTAGTATCTATGATATGCAAGTGATTTACATTATGTAAAAACAAAAGATCCATCATTTTTCAAGGGGCTCACAATTTAAATACATAACAAATGCAAGGGAGGGAAAAGGTATGTGAACAGGCAACAAGAAAAACGGACTATCCAAAAACTGCACACTTGAGCTGAAGCATCTGGAGCATCATAAATAATATGTTTGAAAAACATTGGTATTCCTTCTTGTGTAACACAGAAACAGAAGAATCTATTTAAAAATTAATATCAAAATGTATGCTCAGGGATATGATGGAGTCATGTTGGAGTCATTCCTCAAGATGGTTAGACCAGTGCAGGCTGTAAAAAGAACAGAAAGTTACAAGATTTTAATGAGCGTGGTTCTAGGATGCATCGCAGGGCTTGTGGGTTGATTGTGCTGACAGCTGTGGTATTTTTTTTTTTTTTACCTCGGCTGCTGATTTGTATTTATTGTGAGATTGTTATAATATTGTGTGTTTTTAACTGTTGTTAGCAGCCCAGAGTCAAGATGTTGAGATGGGCAAGCCATATACATTGAAATAAATAAATATATTTATATCCAAACTACTGCAGTCAAGATAACTGATTCCACTGAGCACATCAATATCTCCTTGTGAATTCACATTGGCCCACAACCCAAAAGCCTCAATTGATCACTGACTGAATCAAGTTTTTTTAAAAAAAATATGTATCAGTAGTTCTAGCAATATATGAATACTGGGTCAAAAGTCATAATTTTGAGAACAAAGAGTTCATACCTGCTTTCTCCAAGAAGTGCCTGACACCCCATGAGTCTTCATAGTAGTGTAGTATCAGCAAAGCTTCATCCCGTCACTAGCTCCTTTTTTTAATTGGGCAGCAAAAGATACGCATGCCATCTAGTGGGTGTTTAAAGCTTTGCAGCCCACAACTGTTAGCTCTCTTCTTAACTCGTCAGCAAAAAGCCGTAAGTGTGAGCCAGACTGGTGTAGTGATAAGATAGTGGACAAGGAGTGGGGAGGTGTAACCTCAAGTCCATTCCTAGCTATGCACATTTGGGCCCCAAACTGTTTTTCAGCCACAGGGTTGCTTCTGTGAGGTTAAATAAAGGGAGATTCCCCATGTTCTCTTGAAGGAAAGGCAGCATATAAATTTAATAAATAAATAATTATGGCTGGGCAGCTGCAGTCAGACAGCGCTGCAAAAAGTGTGGCCTTAGCAGCCAAGGCTTGGTTTTGGTAATGGAGAGGCTTCCTGTTTCTTCAGCTGCTCTTTCTGGCTACCCTCTTGCCTTGGAGGCAAAGTGGGGTAATTAGTAAGGACTTTAGTATTCTCACAATTTGGTTGTCTGGGTAGAATTAGTTTAACCCTTTGATAATCTAGGTTTGGGAGTGAATTTGCCATCTGGGGGATTAGTTGACAAGGTGCAAGGGACTTTTTTGGGGGGGGTGTACCTACAACAAATTAACTCCTCTCCCATTGATCCAGTTAAGTCTGTGACAGGATCATAGCTTCTGTATGTGGATTATGGACCCCTCCAGATTAAGCTTCTATTGTGCAATTATCCTGCCTTGTTCACAGAATTTTACAGGCATTTCACTGAATTCCCATTTGTAATCCTCCCATTTTTTTCCCCCAGTACTTTTTCCATCTTTTAAAATTGTCCAAAAATTGCATTTGTACATTAACATAGACCAGAATTATAAACAATACAGATTTAGTATAAAGAATAGTGCTTACTCACGCCTGCTCTGTCTGCCAGCAGAAATGGGTAAACAAACCGTGGAAGCTCCTTCTGTACTTTGCTTACCAAATAATGTGATCTAGAAACTCACACCTGAATCAGAAACCATGAATTGTTCTGGTCTTCCAATTTCTGGCTAATTTAGGAGAGGCAAACCAGAGATTCGGACTCGTATGTCATGATGAAGGTACTATGGAAGGAACTTTCATAGTTTGTTTGGTTCTCTCTCTCTCTCTCTCAGTGCTAAGCAGTTCATTTATAGTAAGCTAGGATTATGAAACATTTTGCCTTATCTTTGGTTGGGCTCACATAAAATAAGAAACTGTAACTTATTTGTTTTTGGTTTAGCATAATATATTTTATTTTTATTTTTTATTTGTTGGATTT